GGTCCACTATATCCTATATCGATCATATAAACTAAGAAATCGGATATTAGTTGCTTCTGTGTTTAAGAAAGATATTCAAATAATGTCTGATATAAAAGAATATACAATATTTTATTCAGACTTAGATAAAACTGCTATATTTCCGATTCAGACACAGATCTTTGTTAGAAAAATTTTTATAGATCTTTGTATTTTAAATATAGAACTAGAGCATAATTTCAGACTGCAACATGTAGACTGAAAAATGGGGTTGAACAGTTCAGATTTAGATATAATTCGCAAATAAACCAACGTTTTTGGAACATGCTATTTACTTTATAGATATTTCAAAATTATCTTATTACATGAAAAAACTTTTTTAGTTGATAATGTGTGTACACAAATTTATCTAACGAAATATAATCCGTTATTAAATCGGGGAGATTTCTAGGAATATAAGTCCTGTCACTTCCGTTGACGTCAATCCCGGGTTCGCCATACAACATATATAAGTTTTAAAAATGTTTCGGTATCATTCAGTTTTGACAGGAATTTGTAGATGAAAATTTGGTATATTGCATGGTTGTCACTCATTTTATGATTGAGCTTCTTTTCGTAATAAGTTTAATGCAAATGGTTTAAAACTGTGATTGATCCATAGTTCTTTAGCAATATCATCCAGTTTATATGTGATAGACCGACCAAAGCCAAAAGTATAAATGATATCCGTATTCCGTATGATTCATATAAAATCAAATGAATAATTTCTACACAGTTAAATGTGATGGAGTACCTCAAGCACAAATTGCTTTTAATACCCTTGGATTGCATTATTTACCCTTATTTATTTTAATACCCTTATGATTGCAAATTTACCAAAAAAAAAAATAAATAAATAAATAAATAATATAACAAAAAAAAAAAAAATAACAAGAAAAAAAAAATAAAGTAACAAGAAAAAAAAATAAAATAACAAGAAAACAAAAAAAATAACAAGAAAAAAAATAAAATAACAAGAAAAAAAAATAAAATAACAAGAAAAAAAAAAATAAAATAACAAGAAAAAAAAATAAAATAACAAGAAAAAAAATTAAATAAAATAAAATAACAAGAAAAAAAAATAATGAAATAAAGAAAAATAATGAAATAAAGAAAAAAAAATTAAAAAAAAAAAATAAAAAAAAATAATAAAAAAAAAAATAAAAGAAAAGAAAAAATAAAAGAAAAAAAAAAACAAAAAACAAAAATAAAACAAAGAAAAAAAATAAAACAAAGAACAAAAAAAATAAAACAAAGAACAAAAAAAATAAAACAATGAAAAAAAAAAAATAAAACAGCAGAAAAAAAACTAACAAAATTAACACAAAAAATGCACCAAGAATAAAAAAATAACAAAATCAAATATAAAAAAATTAAAAAATACTGCAGAAAAAATATGACTCCCAAAAATTATTTATAAAAAAAGAATAAACCTAATTGTAAATAATGATAAAATAGTAAATAAGTCGTTTATTGTAACTGTCCCACTATTATATTATTATTAATTCAACTTAAATCACTTTTACTCATATATGCAGTCAGTGCACTACATTAAAATAAGCAACAGTCAAAGTGCCAGCTCAATAAAAATAATTGAAAAAAAACTAAACAAAATGAAATAAATTAAAAAAAAAACAATCTAGCACTCTCTTAGCTCCATTAGAAACATACAGCTGAGAAAATTTTGATTTGTACTTCGTAAAATTTTTTAATAGGGTCTTCTGATATTTGGTAATTTTTTAAGACGCACCGAAATGTTTTTATATTGTTTTGAAGATGACCAATAGTTTGAGATGTACTTAAACTGTCTCAAGATACATATACTATATTGGAAAGACTTTTGAATTGTCTGGTAGTATTAAATTCGGTTTAATAATTTTTTGAACCACATTAATTTTAATACTGACTTTGTTTAAGTGTTTTCCTTATATTCTTGGTTGATACCTAAAAGGTATAGAAACCCGAATACATTTTTAATAATAAGTTGACCTCCTGACCTGGATCTGTGATCATTTGGATTTATCGTCTAATATTATTTGATTTTACCATTGAAAACGTATAGAAATTAATATATCGATTTGATTTCCGGTATAGGACGAAATAAATCCATTCAGATTATTAAGGTATAGGAGCTCAGAATTCCTGTTTAGGATTTCAGATCTTTTTTAAAATTTCTCTCAATAATGACACGTCTTGAAATTTACGGGAACAAATGGACTCAGGTAGTTTTTTGAAAGTTAAGACGAGTTCACGATACTTTTATAGTACTAATAGTTTAAAATTCTGTTATGGCAATGGATATTATTGTGACCCCAATGAACTGATCACGTCTGTTAGCCCATTGTATTAGTGTATAATGCTTAAGGATTAAAGTCTTTTATTTTCTAGCTATTCTATATCGATTTTAAAAAAATTTAAATTGTTTCTCCAAATTGTGGTGTTTGGATAAGTGTATCTAAGATTCAAGATGTTGACCCTGTATCTCAAGAAAATACCGTCACATTTTGACATTTACTCCATCAGGGATCGCCGGTATAACCTAACCTAACCTTGATATTTACGAATTTCAAACTTTCTTAAACCTTGCTTAGTATATTTTAATTAAGATGATGCCTTCAACATGTCATCAGTTTAGAAGCATAGATTGAAGTGTGGTATTAAACACCAAAGTCCACTTGAGCAGAAATAATGACCTGTTGTGATGCTACGGAATCATGATGTTTCTTGTATATTATTTGCTATTAAACATTTCAATTTTCATTTCTTGTGCATATTTTTATATAATTTTTTATAAAGTATTAATAGAAAGAGTAGGTAAATTATAATTAAATTTTTTTCTGAAAACGATTTAGTTTAAGTATATTGTATTATAAACAATAAAACTATAAAATTGTTTTAACGAAAAAACGAATTTTTAACTGAAAACGATTTAGTTTAAGTATATTGTATTATAAACAATAAAACTATAAAATTGTTTTAATTTTAAAACAAAAAAAATTAATAGTTTTAATATATATTTATACTATTAATATAATTTATAAATTAAATGTTAATAATATAAGAGAACAATTTTTTTTTTACAATATTTATTGATTAAGGTTTCTATTATATTTCTCTACTTTTTGCCATAGATTTTAAATTTTTATTAAAGCATTTGTATGTATTCAGATCGTATGTGCGATTAATTTTCAATTTACTTTGCTTCGATGTTTATTTCTCTTTGTTTTAGGAATTTTTCGAACATCAATAAAATGGCCGTTTTAAAATTCAAGTCACAACGTAAAACATAAAAATAGAGACAAAAAATAATTTTTTTATTTTCTATCTACCTTTGTTTGTTTTCGAAGAAAATTTCACGGCGAATTCAATAAATTTTCTGTATACACAATTTTTTTAATTGTGTATGCGTATAGACATATTGTATAATAGAATGAGTCATTCATTCAAGTTATAAATGATTTTTTTTGCATTCCTTACGTAAAGCCGTTTTTAATCATAATTTTTTAATTCTTTCCACATATTCTCATATATCATTAAAATCAACTTTTTCCGTCTTTAATGTTTCTTTATATTTTTATTTCCGTATATCCTTTATAATTTTTTATTTAAGTTTTTAAGCTTTTTACTTTTTTTCGCTTTGCAATCAAACTTTTGTTATATTAACTTCTTCTGATAGTTATTTTTTATAACTGCATATTCCAATTGTACTGAATTCAACTGATAGTTTTTATAAAACCAATATTTAAGATAAGATTTTGTATGTACACATCTATTCAAAGTATTTTTTTATTTAAAAAATATTTTTATGTCGTCTGATAATGCTCAACTAAAACTAGACATTTCCACACAGCCAAACCTAGTTTTCGTCTATTTGCCCTTTTTTGAACACTCGTGCACTCACATATACATGCACGAGTATATTTGCCTTCAGTTTTGACATTTTACACATCTGTGTATTTGTTTTAATGCGTTGTGCTTGCTGGTTGTTTTGTGGAATTCTTGTGTTCAGCATTATTAAGTGGTACATGTACAAAATTATTTCCATCGCCTCATGGTTACTTATATATAACCATACAAAAATTACATTTTTCCAGTTTAGTATTACTTATGCCATTTATTTTATAATTTAAATAAATTTTTTACTGATGCAGTTTCAGCGTTTGAATTGCTGTTGCTTTTTGTTTTTATCTTTGCGGTGCGAATAGCAAACAATTTCAGGTAAATTGAAATCAATAAGGCAGACATTTCAGCTGTCGTACACATTTTGTGTAGTTTTTTGGTGGGTGTTGTTGATATTTTTACATATATTTTTTGCATTTGTATATTGCATTAAATCACTTCACAAAATAATAATATACCCACCTCATAAATACACTTTTATAAAATTCTTTTTGGTTGTTAAGACTTATTGCCTTAAATATGCAAGGGATTGAATTTTTTTTTTTGTTTTTTTCATAATACACAATCCCAATGGAATTAGGAAGTGGTTCGACGTAATTTCCAAAACAATTTGTGTTAATTTTGTGTTTGAGTATATGAAATAATTACTGCATAAACAAAAATTTTAAAGCAAAAAAAAGAAATAGTTGTACAAAACCAAAAAACTTTATACACACAAGCACACATACATGTGCATTCTTTAAAATATTTAAGTATGTACATATATTCTTTCGAAAAAGTATGTATATACCAAATTTTACATATTAATATACCTAATTTTAAATGCGTTCTGCTTTTAATAATGTTAAATGAAACTTGTCTGACTTATTAGCGTTAAATTTTGCACACCGGAAAAATTATTTTATGCACTTCCTTTCAACTTTTCAACGTATGTATATTTTATTTATTAAACTTCACTAGCTTTTTATGCATGTATTAAGTCAAAAACAAAAAAAAAATAACAAAAAGATAAGTTAGAGTAATAAGAAAATACTTAATAAAAGGAATATATCAAACAACTACATAAACGTTAAAAAAATTACTTCTTGCTACTCTGCGTCTTCTCCGTTTCGACTGCTAAAATCTACTGTCTGAGCTGAAGCCTGTAAAATTCATCCACCTTTTGGTTAACATTTTGAGGCAGCTACCAGCTAGTAGTATACGTACGTCGTTCTTAGCAGCGAATTGAATTTGCTCTGAATATCGGTTTAAGAAGAAATTCATATAGCATAATTTTTTTATATATGTAATATATTTTATTGAAGACCTCAGTCAGTTGTGAATGCATTGAAAACTTGTTCGCTTGCCGTGTACATACGTTCGCTTTTGGTCGTTTTACTTATTTTGTAGTTGCTTAGTTGCTTTACAATTCTTATTTCAGTCGTATTTCTTGAGCTGTTGGGTTCGGTTGGTTTGTCGTTCGGCATGTGAGAGTTGTACTGGTGCAACAATTACTTGTTTGGTAAGTATATTAATGTGTATCACAACTTGGTGTGTGTAAAGTGCAAAAACAATATTTAAAATAAAAACTATTCATAAAAAAGTCTGGTAAGTATAAAACAAATGTTAAATAACGTCAACTGCGTGTGTTCAATTTGTGTTTTCTTTCACAGATTTTAATACAATGGATGTTATTTAAAATAAAATTGCTAATCCTAAAAAAGTAATTAAATTAAATTATAGCATGTATAAAAAATAAACTTAAAGCGAAGTTTAATAGCAGTTATTATAATAGCAACAATTGATACAAATTACACAACATATAAAAGCAAATTTATAATTTTTCTAAATTATTTAAATCAAATTTTAATCTTTTAATGTATAAACGGAAAGTATTTTTTTTATGTAACAAAAATATTCTAAAACAATCATGCACAATAAATAAAACAACAAATAAAATTCTTTATAATCCAAATAAAAACACTAAAGTATGTATAAAAAAAAACCAAAAAGTGATAAGCAAAATGTTAACGTCAATATGAAAATATAATTCTGTGCAGGCATTTAGACTTCAATGTCCGTGGGGTAAAGCAAAAGATACTCAAATCAGTATTTAAATATTTTTTAAAGTGTTTCTTATAAATATCACCTGAATAACTCTGATTATAATTCGATGGAGTGCTTATTATAATGGTTCACCCAAGTAGTCACAAAAGCATTTGAAAAAAGTGCCTCAGACACCAACTCTCGTTTCATCAAGTCAATATGACAAGAATTTTTTACTGATTGATAACCCACTTTAGTAATTGAATTTAATAATTAAAAATAATAATAAAAAAATGGCAATTGCGCAGTACGTGTATAATACAGAAAATTATTTTTTACTTGTACGCTACTTTCCGCATAATATTAGTGCTTTAAAATCAAGTTAAATAGTATTTATTTAAAAATGTTTAATGATTTATTGTTTTAATGACTAAAAAAATTTTAATAATAATTTTGTTTTTTACCGGGCTAATAGATCAATAGTTAAATAAAAAACTTTTTAAAAGGTTTTTATTTCTTTTTAAAAGATTTTATTTTAATTTATATATATATTTCGACTATAATCTATAGTCATCATAAGGGTACTATAAAATTTGAAAACCGTTTTTAAAAAGTTTTTTTTTTTATTTAACTATTGACTAATTAGCCCGTAAAAAAACAAAATTATTTTTAAAAAATTTTAAAAATTATAATAATTTTTAAAAATCTGAAAATGAAACAAATATATTACATTAAGTTTGACTTGGAGAAGACAGAGACAGTAGACAAAATATTTTTTTTTTATTTTTCAAAAACATCCTTTACTGGATATGAATAGTACCATCTCAACTATTTTATAATTTGTTACTATTGCTGAATTGTACTTAATAGTGATTAAGTAATACTTGTGCAGGTTTACTGATCCAGTGTTTAACTCTCATAAGACAAAATATAAACGATTAATTTTTTTTAGACAATATGTTAAAATGAAACAACAGAGCTTGATCCATTCGATTAGTAGATAGATAAGTTCAATAGTTTTTGAGGTAACAGAATTAAAATTTTACATTAAACCTTTCTGTAAAACCAAGCAGACAAACTTGAGAATTGAAATTGCCAAATTGTTTAATTATATTATATAATCTCCATAGAAATTAACAGTCATAAAAATTGATATATTTTTTTAAATGCGGTAAATTGGAATTTTAAATAAAGAAATATATTTGGATACAGATGTAAAGTTTAAGGGAGATTTCTCAATATAACCTTGCAGAAAAAAATCATTTTTCAATTTATTTAAAACATTTTATTTTAACATAAAAGGAGGGTAATTCGATATGTTAGGTAAAAATATTTGTTTAATTTAATTGTTTATTTTAATTATATATTTTAATTTTTATTTTAATTATATATTTTCATTATTTTTTTAATTATATATTTTACTTATACATTTTAATTATTTATTTTATTATAATTATATATTTTAATTATACATTTTAATTATACATTTTAATTATTTATTTTAATTACACATTTTTGTCTTCGTAGCATGTTTACTGTAAACACAAATTTTGTTTCAAAATATCTTTCAAAATAAAATTTTTTTATAAACCCTTTAGATGTTCAAGTTTTGAACTTTACTTTGTTGCCAGAGACGTAGATGTCTAGGAAAAAAACGGGTTGTCAATTCGAGGTCGGCAACAATAAGTTTACCTAACACTATAAAAAAAATTTTATTTTCACTCAGTGTTATCAATAAAAAAAAACAATAACGCTATTCCGATTTTCTGGTTACTACAATTTGAACTTTTACCACTAAACTATGTACCTAAAAACATGGATTACTTGATTACTTTCAAAAATAATTAAGTCAATAGGTGTACCCGGACAATCGAAATCCTTTCGAAAGCAAAGCATTGCCATAACAATATAAAAATATTCTAATAGTCAGCTAAAAAAATCAAAAAAGAAAACGTTTAAATTAATAATTTTTTATTAATTACTATTTTATACAATTAATTTTCTCTTAAATAAATAATTTTATTTTATTAAATTAATTTTTAACTTCAGTTAAGACGAGAGAAACTATTCCCTTAATATAAACTATTCTCATCAATAGAGAAGTTTTTAAATAAATAGTATATTGCAACAACATATTTATATTATTGTTAATTAATTAAATTTTTGGCTGACCATACAGCTTATGTGAGTATTCTCAAATTCCCATCATCGATGTTCTTTTGGTATTATTTTTTATATTTATGTATTCGTCAATTATTTTTTCAGACTGCAACTACGAAGGGTTGAACTCATAATTTGCCAAATTTAAATTTAAAATCAATTATTAGTCATCTGACCCAAAATCGTTGGGTCTGACTTAAAGTTTTGTTAATTTGCTGTGAAAGTTATGAAACAAATTCATTTGGTGTAGAATAATTGCATTAATTATAGCTATTTTTAATTGTTAAATTTCAGTAATCTTTTGTAAAGTATTTCATATTTTTTTAAAATTTTTATTTTTAAATAAAAAATCAATTTATTTATTATTATTTAAAATAAATTATTTATTTTTAAATAGTTAATTTATTTTTAAATAATTAATTTATTTTTAAATTAGTTTGATTTTTATTATTTTTAATTACAATTTAATATAATTTAAGTATTCTCTTGTTTGTTTGATAAGATCAAGTACTTGTTTATAATTTGCATAATACATTGTGACTTACTTCTTAAAATAAAACATAAGACATAATGTCTCTTATTTTCGAAATTCCGTAAAGATCAGTTCAGATTTAAATGTGTCATATAAATTTTAATTATATAAATCTTATATGACAAGTGTTTATGAAAAAAGATTTTTTATATTCTAATTCAATCTTAAATCTTAAATAATTTTTCGATATCTTTTTATAATTAATAAAACAATCTATTACTTTTATGTACTCTGTAGTAAGAATATTAAATTAAATTTATTAATTTTAATGAATAAAAAAAAACAGTTATTTGCAGTAAATTTCACCTACATAATATACATTACATTATAATTCTCATTCACTTTAAAACAAACAGTTAATATATACTCTTAATTTATAATTAATTTAAATGAAATTGTTTTAATATATGAAATTGGAATTAACCGTTTAGTATGTTTGATATGTACATCGACTTCGGATTATTGTCGAAAAATCTTTACAAAAAGAATATAATCGAAATTTAATGACAAAATTACAATAGTTAATTAAATTTTGAATAGCTGTGATTTATACATTCTTTTTAGTATAACATAGAAAAAGAATATACATTCTTTTTAGTATAACACAGAAAAAGAATAAGTTGGTAAAATAAAATATTAAAAAACTACAAGTTAGACCAGCGCAAGTTTAGTATGATAATATATACTTACCAATACTTGATACAGTTGTATGGCCAGCCAAAAATTCGATTATTTAAAAATAATTTTTTTTTGCCATAATTTTTTAAATATTTAAACATTTTATTTTGTTTGTTTTATAAAGCGAATACTGTGCAAACTATTAGTCGAGACAGATAAGATCACAGCAAAGTGAATTATGAATCTTTCAATTAGTCAAACTGTTACTAACGAATATTATACAATGTTTGTATTAAGATAGCCGTAAAAAGTGACTAAAACTATAGGTAGACAATGGGTCTTCGAGACCATTTTGCCAAATATTTATAACTAAGTTCCACAACCGTCAAATTAGCCTAATTTATCACCTTAAATATGTCCCTTAAACTCAGTAAACTACTCCGGAGACACCATTTTGACACGATTGGGTAGATAAAAAAGAATAGCTATGCGTTAATGTCATTCCGAACACCGACTTCAATATTTGTTTCCAAGATTGGAAAACATTATTGTCTATGCATATTGAATTAGGAGGGTAAATTTAGAATAAACAAATTTAACTTTTTATCAGATCACAGTGCTATATGTTCTAATAATCTTTATTTGTACTTAAAATAAACATTTTTGAAAAGTAGTTAGAAGAAATTATAAAGTTTTTTTTTTTCATTTCAACAAAAATAACTCCATTTTTTAGTTTTCTGTTCCACCCCGATATAGGACCCTGCTACAAATCATTGAAACTATAAAAAAAATATAGATTTAAAAATATTAATATAGACAGGGAAACTAATGAAAATTGCAAACAAACTTCGCACCGATCTAGCTGTCACATCAAAAATTACAGAAAGGTC